AATTACATTCACAGTAGAAGTTCCTTAATTTATTAATTTAGGTCCATCGTTTTATTCCCCACACCATAATTACAAATTCATTATATTAGTCTTTCAAAACTAATTAACTAGTGAACCTTTTTATTCAATTCTCAAACTCAACTTAGGAAACATAATTTGAAATTACTTATTAAATATCCTTACATAAAAATACATAATTGTTTAATAATAAAGGTATTATATTAATTTCATAACAAATAGAAATCAATTTGATTTTTATAAAACATTTTAACTAGAAAACCTTAAATAACAATGTGACAAATATTTATTGAGTAAACATACTTGTATAAAATTAAAACCCATTATTAATCAAAACAAATCTTTTAAAATTTAAATTCATTTATACAAAACATATTGGAATAGAACCATTTTATTTGTCGCAGGGCGATGTCGGGCACGTGAGGTGAAATATAGGGCAAATGATTGGAGTCGCCACCTAGTATTACGGTTACTAGGAAACCTCATGACTGGTCTATTCGGAGTTTCGGGTAAGGGATTTATTACGTGTAGGAAAGACCAAAAGTCACCCTACCTCGTCTTGCCTAAGGCAAGCTGCATTACATACAACCTTAATTTAACTACCGATGAAAGTGCCCCTTTGTCGAGTGATTCGGGACTTGGTAGTCGAAGACCTTGTCCTCACTCTGTAATGAATGACTAAAAATGATGAACACGGGGATATGCTTGCTAGTGCGGCTCAAACGACATGCATGGAAAACGGAACTTAAAATGGGCAAATAGGCAAACAATCAAGACAAGTAAAATGACAGAATATGCAACACATATAGAAATAGGCAAATTGACAAATAGGTAAAAATCGATAAATACGCAAATTGGCAAAATCGGTAAAGAGGTAAATAAGCAAAAATTGACAAATAGGCAAAATAGGCAATCATAGGCGAGAAATAGGCAAACTTAGGCAATCATGGGCAAAAATAGGCTAAAATCGATTACATAGGCAAAAATCGACAATTTAGGCAAAAACGAGCAAAAATCGACAACTTTAGAAAAAATAGGCTAAAGTCGACGATGAAATAAAAAATTGACGACTTTAGGCAAAAGTAGGCTAAAATCGACAATGAAAAATGAAAGCCACGACTTTGGCTAAAATCGACAATGAAATGGTAAATTGGCGGCTTTAGATAAAAATATACTAAAATCAATAAAACGAACACACATAGGCAAAATTGACGAGAGCCGACAATAGGACCAAAATCGGAGAAAATGTAAAAATCGATGAAATTAATCACTTTGGCGTACATAATCAATCATTTTTGACGAAAACGAATTACATGACAACATTTCAAGCTTAATTGGTTCGGCATGTGTTTTTATATATTAAAAAAAAATTATCATACAAGATGCACTTTTGAAATATGCGTTCGACTAACAACAAATATCCACATGTTCAAACCGACGCCTCATTCGTCATCATGCCGCCCAAAACAAAATAAAAAAATGCACATCATTGCAATTCAAGCAAGTTACACATGAATAAATAGGTCAAAATAATCACATCACATTCATTCAATTAATTACATGACACATATCAATCATAAAATAAATTTAATACATGTTAAATGAATAAATAAATAAAGTAAAAAGAAAAGTGAAAAAAAATATTACTGTAAAAAAAAATGAGCTAGGTCGATTCGCTCGGCGGTCTCGGAGTCGGACCCGACCTTTTCAAGCCCGATGGAGACCGATATTTAGTCAATCGAGGAGGAAAGATGGATGGAGCGGCGGCTGCTGGCAGAGGCGAGCGCACGCCGGTAAAGCGTTGGCGTGCGGACGAGCGCCGGCAGACGTAGGCGCTCGCTAGCGAGGCGCGAGCGTGCGGCCGGTGGACACAAATGCGCGCCGGCAGATGCGCGAAGGTGCTGGCGACGCGCCTGGAGGTGTTGTTGCTCGCTGAAACGCGTGATGTGCTTGAAGTGGGCCGAGGAAGGCGCCGAGGATAGGTTGCTCGTGTGGGAGAAGGAGCCGAGGCCTGGTGGCGTTCGTCGTCGGTGCTAGGCGCCGGCGTAGGCGTAGGTCGCCGGCGTGGTGGAGGAGAGGGGTCGTGGCGTGTGAGGGAGGCGGCTACTCGTCGGTGAGGGGGAGTCGGCGGCTAAGTCTTTTTAGGATGATGAACGAGTAGCTGGTTCCTTTTTTGGAGGAAGGGGGTGTTTTTATACTAGGTATTTTTTAAGGTTTTTTGGCTAAAGGTCTTTTTGGTCCCTCATTTTACAAACTCTCTTTATTTTAGCTCCTTTCTCCTTTCTTTTTCAATTGTGCCCCCAATTGCATCTTTTTCTTTCCTTTATTTTTTCCTCTTTTCCTTTTCCTTTTTCTCTTTTTTGGAACCCAAAATTGGGTGTTAACATTATTTAATAGAATTCATTTTCTTTAAAACATTTATAAAAACATATTTATGAAAACATATTTTGGAAAACATTTTTTTGTCAAACATATTAACTATCTTAAAACCACTTTTGGGCTAAACCCATTTTCATTTAATCAATTTCTTTTAAAATATTTTTGGATAATCTTACTAAATATGAAATAATCCATTGAATCTTCATTAATTACCATGCCCTTTTAAAACATGAATACAAATACATGATTAATCATTCCATCAACTAATGAATTTTTGAAATCATTTTAATACTTTCCGTTTAATAATAAAACTATGCATTTAAGTACAATTAAATACTTTGATATTATAAGCTTCATCTAAGCTCTTTGGAATCTAAACCATATATTAAGCCCTTGGGAAGCTTAATTAGTTCTTATACTTTAAAAACCATTAAAATTATTTAATCATTAAACTCATTAAATTAACTAAGTTCCCTTTAAACCATTTTAACCCTCAAATATTGTATATGCTCATGTTTGGTACCATTTAATTGCCTCTTTTATACATATACTAACCATCACATTAATTATAAAACATAAAATATACTTAGTTTATATATAATTTATTTATAGTTTAATCCCTCCATCAATATATATATATATATATATATATATATATATATATATATATATATATAACAAAATTCTTGTAGTCTAATAAATTAATAGATGAATCCGCAAGGTTTCAAAAATTATATATTTAGTTTTTAAATTTATTTATAGTTTAGTCCCTCCATCAATATATATTGATGACAATGGTAAGATGAAATATTTTGATTAGAGAAACAATCATTTTTGGAAGAAAAAAATTACCAAATTGAGAATTGTCAATGCTAGTCAATGAACTGCTTAGGTTTTTTTTTTCCCCACAAAGGAACTAATTGATTATATTTGACAAAATATAGTAACTAATTAAGTTATAATTAACTCAGATCATTTTATGGCTGGCTCAAGTGTCATTGTATCATATTTGGCAGCAGACATATGCAACTAGCAAAATCTCATGCACGCAAACTCGTGTGCACCCCATAAGAGATAGGAAGCAATACAAGGGGAAAAAACAAATATTTAGCTACTTATACTTAAATCTTTGTCCCTTCTACCATATAACATGTTGCAAAAAAGGCAATGACGATATTGAGGTACTGAATTTAGCTAGTCGTAGCTAGGAGATGTGCAACAATATTGACCCAGAATTATACTTGATGGTTCATGCATAATTAGCTTGTATTTTATTTGAAACGGAATTGTTCATTAACAAAATCTTATTCTTCCATCTCTCAATTGATCGATCATAAGGCAAACCTAAAAAGATGTTAGATTCATTGAATTCGCCATCCAACAACTTTTAATTCTGAATGATCACCGAAGAACAAAAATTAATGGCAAGATTCAATGCCCTGTTTTCCAAAGCAATGGAAGGTTTTGGTGACTTGACGTTGGATAAGAGGACTAAATTATAAATTAGTCCCTTTATTTTTAAAAAATAAATAAATAAAATTTTCTTATTTTAAAAATTATTTATTTAATTCTTTAATATTGTTTTTTTGTGTTTAATTTAATATTATTTTATTTAAAAATTATCATTTTTTGTCATCAATTTTTTTATATTTTTATAATATAGAAAAGACTCATTAACTTGTTTCCTAAAACTAGGGTAACTAATTTATAATTTACTCACATAATTGAGTTACAACTAAAAGAAATTACTGACTAAATGTTTACTATAAAACTGGCAAGAGGAGGTACAGCCAGTGGCGAAGCCACGTTATTGGGAAGGGGGCCTAGTTTCCCAGTACATGGTACGTTCATGCCTTTTTTTAAACAAAACTGAAGTACTACACCAAAATTATTGGATTCCTAAAAAATATCATCTATTCTTTTGAAGCAAATAACATTACCATGGTGCATTCATACCTTGTTATTTTAATTTCCTTAAAAATAGCTTCTTTTTTTTTTGTTCTTAATTAAATCTGGACATGTCTTGGTAATTAATGTACTGTTATCATTTCTTGTATAATTCTTATGTCCAAGTTTTATCTTTTAATTTGTTTAATTTTCTTATAAAATTAGGACTAAAAATATATTTTATATATATCGTTATTAAATAAAACAATTACATAAAATTTGTATCATATTTGATATAAATTACACACACATTAACAAATTTAGTCTCGACATTAATTAGATAAATTTGCCGGTGTTATCAAATGTTTTAGCTTAATTAATTCGCCACTGAGTAAAATATTTGTACAGAATACTCTATATATATATATATAGAGAGAGAGAGAGAGAGAGAGGCCATATTCAAGTAATTTCTAGAGAAAGTGACAAATTAAAGAAAAAGAAAAAAAACAAAACAAATTTATCAGTGCAACATACGTACACATAAAGAACAAACGTAACATTTCTCCAAAATTTATCAAGGACATATCTATATCTGTCCTTCTGGTTCATCCATAGCGCTTACAGGTAATAAGCATACAAACCATGTTTAAACATACTTACATATAACTGTAATTATACCTTAAAAACATTGTTCATCAATTGCACTACGTAGGCAATCAAGGCTTCCCGCGCAATCGAGAACATGAGACAATAGGCAGATTGTTCACAAATCTGCTTGGAGCCGAAGAATGCCTATAACCTTTTGGCAAGCAACCTCTGACATCTCGCGCACCAAAAAAGGGTCGCTTGTGATTCAAATGAGGCTTCATTTTGACATAACCTTCACCTTGTGAATCCAAAGGCGCCATCATGGTGCTTGGAACACTGGAGGGTCGCATGGGGATGTCACGTCCAGCCATAGTGATACCTAGAGAATTGGAGGACAATAGGAAAGAGATGAACAGAATGTAAAACATGGCAGTACTCATGATTTTTAATAAGGTTTTGATTTTTGCTTTGTGGCTTTGTTGGATCGAGGTTTAGAAGAGGTTTTATGGGAGACACAAGTGAAGAGAGGGGAAGGGCCTTAAATAGGCTCGTGAGTTGCTGAAGAAAGCAGATACGACAGAGCTCATTGCTAGCAAGAATGGCATTACTTTGAGAGTGTGGTGGAGGTGAATTACTGAGGTGGGTGCAGCTCTTTTCTTGCACCGTGGAAGAGGTGACGATGCCCGTGAGTTTTTTTTATTGCAATGCTCTACTTTTTAATCTTCCATATCTAACTTAGGTATTTTTGTTGATTATATTCATTTGGTAAATTAATTATTGATCATGCAAGCAATAAATATGAGTTAAATAGGTTAGTTCTCTCTCTCTATATATATGTGTGTCAAAAAAAAAAAACATTCATAAATAAATTTTACTTTATTTCTAAACCAATTAATTCAAGTATAAATTTCTTTTTGCCCACTAACTCGATAATGTGTGTGTATTGGATTAAATAGAAATTCAATAGACACTATTTTTGCCCAACACGTGTTGAATTGAAATAAATTTTAACCTTCCTTACCAAAAAAGGGGGAAAATTATAATTGGACCAATTTATAAAATTCCAAACGAATTGGTGAACCTCCCTGATGGCAATAACCATTTATTGCTGGCGGGTTCTCCGCGGTGAAATCTCAGGCCAGGGCCAGTAGTCATTAAGGAAAAACAGTTAATGTCAATCCTTGGGTCTTAAATATGGCTTAATTAATGCATGCATGTTTGCATACATTTTAAGCTCTTCCAAAGTGGAATACTATTGCATAAATAAAAAGAGATAAAGCAATTTTGAGTGTCTAAACTTATTTGATTTTGATAATTGAGTCTCTAATTTTTTATGAGTTATATATATATATATATATATATATTATTTGAATTATTTTGATTAAAATTTTATACTGTTTTTTGTGTTGATTAAATTGTCATACTTTTTGTTTTGTTTTTTCATCCCTCCATTATAGAGCCGTAATTGTAAACTAATATAAATTACAAATATATTTGTCAAAATTAAAACAAAAACAATAATAATGTTGACTATATATTAGTTAATTATCTATATCAAAAAAAGAAAATGGGTGCAATCTTTTTTTTTAAAAGAACAATCACATTTTTTACTTTAAATTAGTCAACTATTCAAAATTTTTTACTTTTTATGGAGAATTAGATTCATGAAATAGGGGTCTGTTAATGATTGATATTGTACATCATCATATTTTTATTTTAATAATTGCAAGTTAAGTTTCTTTTTTTATATATTATTTTTGTTATTTTAACTTATTATAACATTAAAAAGAAAAAAAACTTCAGGTCTCAGTGACACATTTGTACATTTAGAATGAGGTTTTTTTTTTATAAAAAAAATAACATATATATATATATATATATTTTTTTTTAAATAATAATTTGGTCTTTTTATTTTTTGAGTTATTTTGAATAAGTTTTTCTATTGGAGTCTCATATATAATACGTGTCACATATTTATGAGTGAATGTATCATATTTGCTCACAATTATAAGTGTTATAACGCAGAGGATAAAAATAAAACAAAACAAAAAATAAAAGACTCAATCAACACAATAAAAAAAATAAGATTTTAATCAAAATAATTTAAAGAGTACATAAACAAAACTTATTTAAATAAAATCAAATATCAAACACTAAGTTGTAAAAATCAGATAAATTTAGACACTCAATAATTTTATCCTTAAATAAAACACATCGTCTATGGCATCCATCCATTATATAAAGCTTTCATTAAATACAAAGAATATGATTTATTCAGAAAAAGGGCCATCAACTTTGTTGGTGATATTTACAAGACACGATCGGGTTGATTTCAATCCACGTGATTCTCATTATTGCTTCTCCAAAGTCATCTTTTATTTCATGAATTTCTAAAATTAAAATAAGTAGTGTACCATTTTATTGAGAAGTTCATGTTTTGTGGTTAATACATGATTATGGACGTAAAGATAGCCTTCAGTTAATCCTTAATTGATGGCTACCTCATTTTTATGGACTATACCATACTGAATGATGACAACTACTTTATCATGATAAATTGCAATGAAATTTAGTTTTGAAACATTAATTTCAAGGAAAATTGATAATCATATGGATATCCCATACCCATCCCGTTTAGTCATTGGCTCCATCCCATCAACATTAAAATGAAAAACAAGAGAGGGATTTGAATTTGCCAGAAAAAAAAAAAAAAAACATTTTCAGGCATCCAGATTCCGGGCGGAAGATACACTGGAGTAGTGAATGATCAGAAATCAACGTTAAACATCCCATTTTGCCTTGCTCCAGGTGGGGTCTTCTGATTGGACACGTGGTCCAGTCAATAATAAATGGGTTTCTGCTACGTTGCATGATCCAGAAAACCCACCTACCTGAAGGGTGGCTGAGTGATAAGGTTTTGCTTTTTTGATGCAGTTGGTTAATCAATTTAAAGGCATCCTGTGAGCGTGGTGAGGAGTTTCAATAAACATCTCTAATTAATTGTGTAATTATTATCATTATTGAAGTTAAAGATTGAAGACATCAACAAGGGGAACTGAAAGAGTCTTAATTTTAGGTACAAGTAGCTCTTCTTAACTACTAACATTAAAACACATGCCAAGACAAAAAGAAAAAAGAAGTCTTGAATTAAGAACCTCAACCAATATGTGTATTTACTCTGGTAAAAGTATGAGCCTGTTTTAAGTTATGTCGATCCTTCAAGACTAATATTAGCCTTGTTGATGAGTAAGATTTATGATTTTTACCTCAAGAATTTATGGGTTACAGATGTTATAAATCATGGGACTTGTGAGATCATTCAATATTCACTACTTGTAACTAATAGTTCAATTGATATGCTCTACCAAACATTAAAGTCTGCAAGTAAAGTTTGTTGTATGTGGGGTGAAGTGGGAACAGGATATATTGCATTTCCCATGCATGTAATTCTCTAAGCTGCTGCTGATATGGAAACTTTAACAGCACTATTCATCTAATATGCTAAACGTATTCTTACTAGTAATTAATTACAAAGTCAATTTATTGGACCAAATTCGAACAGATCATTATATTTCATTTACTGAGTTTTGACAGTCTAATCTATTAAGTAATTTAATGAGGACTAGTTCTGAAATTAACGTCGAATTCTTTCACTGGATCAATATCATATGCATTCTTTGTGTGATGTAATTCAATATCCACTAATTATATTGATGCGGACCAACGAATTTTAGAATTCATGAAACAATATAAATGCGACAAAAGCTGAATAAAAACTGTTGATCCAATTATAAGATTTTTTGAATGCCAAACGAGCTAACAAGTAAAACTTGTCGGCTATTTTCATGACATAGAGGTAATTTTGGTAAAAAAAAAAAAACATCGTTTAGACTCTTAAAATTGACTTTTATTTTTTTTTGGATTTTTTTATTTTTTATTTTTAATATTTGTTTCTTTTTTAAATTGTTTTAAGGTTTTGGGCAATATTTTCTATTTATACATGAATTAGAGAAACAAAATTACAATTTTCTTTGATTAATAAAAATTCATGAGAAAATATTTTTAATTTTCTAACGTTCATTGAATCAATGAAACTTAAAACTTATTTCTTAGTATTTATGCATAATTCAACCACCTAGATTTCAGATCAATTATATTTATTTTTCTTTTTTATAACCTAGTGCTACGTGGTATATAAACTACGTCTACTAATAAACTAGTCATTACTTGGTCTATTTTTTTTTTTTTTTAAAAAAATTAGTACGAAGGAGATGTTTAAATTTATATGTTTTCGGAAGAAGAACATTAACGAAGAAAGACACTGATCTCCATTGAGCTATAATCATTTTGGTTGCATGGAAAGAAGTCAACTTAGTGTTGTCCCTAAAAAAGGAAAAAGAAGAAAAAGAAAAGTTTGGTTTAAAAAGAATGTAATAGTTGTGAAATTAGCTGCAACAACAAGGGCTGATATGGGAAATTAGATTAAGCTACCGCCAAGATAAGAGAAGTTTCGGTTACTAAAGAAGCACGGTACATGAGCCTTTATCTTTCTGAATTTGGAGATGGAGCTAGCACTGCACACTTTATCATTTACCTCCTTATCCAAGAGTAAGTAATTCAAACAAACTTTGTCCAAATATTAATATACAACTCTAATTGCTCTACTTGTTAGTTGTTACAACTTACATTTCTATGCTGCCTTCATAACCCTTAAACTTTGTAGTTACAACTTTCTGAAGGTAGTTGACATTTAGTGTCTTACAGTTATGAGAAACCCATCAATGAAATTAACCCATTAAAGATATGGCGATGGATGCTTTATGGGCTGGTTGTTTCTTGTTATACATGTATTTTCATCATCATTTAGATGTGGGTTAGGTTCCTTTTAATTTGGTGGAATCATTTGAGCCATTTATCTTAACTTTATGGAGGAGGTTCTTTGTTGTAATGGTTTTCTAAATTGAGATAAGGACCATTATTTGTCTTTGGTTTTCAAAGATAATTAGAGTTGTTGTGGCTGACACTGGAGTTAATGTTGAGTGCTTGAAGAGGTTTCTTTAATTTGATGGGTAGAATGAATGACTCTAGTTTTCTTGGTTCTGTTTAGTAATACAGAACATGATTTCTTGGTTAAGTATTAGGTGTCCTAAGCTCAGAAAAGAAATGCTTGCTTAGATTGATGAAAGTTGTCGGTTTTGAGGGGTTGCATTTATGTAGGTTCGAGATAAGTGCTTCAATGGTGTTTCTAGTTCCACTTTCTATAGTGTAATGGCTACATGAATAATTTGTTGATTCCTTTAGGATTGTGCGTATGGGTTGCTGCTAGGGGAGGTTTGGGCTTTGATGAGGTTTATTATCAATGCCACCTAGGGGTTGGAAGGGGAAATACCTCTTATTGGTGGTCAGAATTGATTCTTCAATAATTCAATCAAATAGAGACACACAAATGCGAATAAAGATTTACCCACCTGGGTGAATTCTAGCTGTGGCCTTTTATACCGATTTGTTGTTCAGTTATGTCTTATACCAACGTTGTAATTTTATACCTTTTGATGTTCAGTTATGTCTTATACCAACATCGTAACGAACCCTTAGTCATTCTGAGCTAAAAAACTGTGTGTAAGGATTTACTTTTTTGAGCCTCTTCTGGAATAAACTTCTCAAATCTAATTGATTCCATGCATCTACAGTTCCCTATCAGTAAATAGGATTGAATATGGTTTTTTGGATTTCCGTTGCGGTGAAAGCTTTATGGAGTGATTTGCTTTTTTTTTGTTTTTTTCGTTGAAAAAAAAAATCTCTTAGATATCAATGATGATGGAAATCAGTTACCACTATTGTTCTTAGGTTATCTGCTACATTTGTCCTTCGGCCCTATATTGGTCTGCCTAAATTTCATTTACTGTGGAACTGCTTTAATACTGATTCATTATCGGACTCAATTTTGCCTCACACTAGACTGATGGTTTTGTTGGTTGATGAGAAATTATTAGATTCTGCTGTTATTAAGCTGAGAAACTCTCACATGAAAGTTGATACAATCATAAAATTCATTTGTTAAATTAAATTTGACAACCTCCATACCAGCCTAGAATTTCATTTCCTTTTTGTCGCTTTTGTTGCAACATGACTGGTTCTTTCAATCTGGGTTGATATACTTGTAGTCCAGTTGAGCCCGGGCTGTGCAATTGTAAGAAACCTCCATTAAAAGAGAAGAAGCTGTGTTCAGCCACACTTGAAACTATCATTTTGAATTTCTATACGTACTTGTAGAATAAAAAAAAAAAAAAACATAATATTTAGGGATTGGGGTGCTTATCTTTTTTCTTGTGAAACAGTTAAGGAGTTCAGGCCTCAAGTTCTTACTATACTGGATCCCGCTACGTGTTCTTCAATTGATGTGAAATTACAAGAACAAGGGAGAAAAACATCCACGGTATGCTGTGCTCTACCAGAGACAGCTGCCTCTGTGGCAGTTGCTGCCACAGTTGTGGGTGCAGCAGCTACCCTTCTAGCGAGAAGAAACAAATCATCCAAGGCAGATGAGGTGCATGTTTAAAATGGAATTGGGCAAAGTGGTTGTATTGGGAAAGAGCATCCACATTAGGATATGCATAATGCGCAACTTATATGATATTACCATAAATTACAGAGGAAAAGAAAAAAAGGTTTTTGTAAACACAAGATACTGTGCACAGTAAATTGCTAAGTTATGTAACCATGTTTTAGTTTGAGTGAGTCAATTTCATGCCTATGAGAATTATATTCAAATCGATCACTTCAGTCAAAATAGGATAGCTAAATCCAATTAGAGATGTTACTTTAGTTGAGAATCTAGGGAAAGAGTTCTTATATAATGCATCATTTAACTGCCAGGATAATATTTGATTGCTTTTGCCCTCATAAAAATTTGTTTAGAAGCTTCTTCAGTTTTCTCAGGACTTTTACTTTTGAGACCTATGTTATCGGATTTGCAAATTCACCACAGCATTCTTTTATACCGCTAGTTTAATTTTTAACAAGCAGTGCACTTTTAATTGATGCATCCACTGTTTTAGCACCCCTACTGGCTACTGCCTTCTACCTTTTTATCTATCTATCTATCTATCTATCTATCTATCTATCTATATGTGTGTGTGTGTGCCCCTGAGTTATCTCATAAATGTCCTTTATAAAATGCAGATTCCGCTCAAAACATGTGAAGATTGCAGTGGTTCTGGTATATGTTCTGAATGCAATGGTGAAGGATTTGTCCTTAAAAAACTGTCAGAAAAGAGTGCTGAGAGAGCAAGGATGAGTGCAAAGAATATGGCCACTCGATATACAGCAGGGTATTTTAAGTCCCTTTCCCTTTATCTCTCCCTCTGGCACCCACACACACACACGCACACAGACTTAGGACTATCTTGATCCTAGGATTGATCTGACAAGGTAAATTTTTTCAGGCTTCCAAAGAAGTGGAGCTACTGTACGAAGTGCTCTTCTGCCCGATCTTGTAGCACTTGTGGTGGCAGTGGAAAGTTGAGCTACTAGTTTTTCTTTACATTTCTATCCTTCTAATTGATATTGGCAACCTAAGCTGCATCTATGCTTAATTCTGAAAAAATACGAGGAACTTTTTTGCCTTGTATAATTCTCCTGATGAGTAATGTATATATGCAATGCCTATTCCACCTCTCTCATTGGAATTTTGCATAAGTATGATCTGTCGTACTCATAGTTAAGCTAGCTGTGGATACACTCTATGGGTACCATAAAATGTGAGCTTTGCTAGTTAAGATCAAAAGGTTGTGGGAAGGAAGAGAAATAAGCTAGTTGCAAGTCAAGTTCGTAGTTTTAAATAGAGGTCAGCAGTTGAAAAAAGAATCATGGTCGTGATCGCAGATCGGGGCATGTCATGGTCGTAAAATAATGATTACGATAGCCGATGTCGTGAATATATTAACAACTAGTAATAAATATATTTTAATTCACATATTTTTGACAATTTTACTAATTAAGCATAATAATAAGTAATAATATCTTTAATGGTTTAATAACATATAACAATAATTAAATTTATTACAAAAAATAATTAATAACACTTCTAACAGATTAATATCACATAAAAAATAATAAAATACATTATAATTTCAATATACATATTACAAAATATTCATCTCTAAAAAGATCATCATGGAAGATTATAATAATAGTTATCATCTTGTTGATGTTGTGATTCTAGTCTATCAAAATTGCAATCATAACTATGTTGTCCTTCCAAATCCAATAACCTAAATAGTGAAGTAGTAATGGATGATCCAATTTATTGAAGATATTATAGATTCGAAATTGATCGGCTTGATAAAGTACCATATGAATCATAAGATACATAACCATATACTTATGGATCTTGTGGGTGATAGTATTATCTTTGATTATAACCGAAGTTAGAAGTCGAACTATTTTCGAAGAGACAGAGTGATGTCTTTGATCATGCAGTATGATACCACTAGATTGTTGTAGTTCTACTATTGGTGCTTTATTTCTAGCATTGAATCTAAGTGCAGTAGGACCATGCAACCTACGCCTATATAGAACTTGATTGAGACTACTATTACAAGCTATTCCCTTTCCACGACCTCCATCATTATTGCTACTACTACTATTACTATTATGAGAAGCTCCTAGATCACTAGGTTCCTCATCTTGATCATCACCACCACCATTATCATTATCATGCGGATTAGTTTGACCATTAGAATTGTTTTGATCATTTTTTTCATCACTATTGTTGTCATCACTATCATCATCATGCACATGTAACCAATCCATATTTTGTCCATCGAAGATTGGTTGTTCATTTTCTTCCAACCAAGCGAGATAGTGGATCGTCTTCATAAAACATATAATCTAAATTAATTAGATTAAAACTTTCTTCTAATTCTTTCTAACTCTTCCGTATTGTATTTCTTAACCTCGACTTCATGTTTTAATGAAGATAAACAAGCGTGTGTAATTTTTGATACTTCAACTCGATTCTTATCTTCATATGTACTAAGCTAAAAGTGCTCCAATTTCTCTCACAATTTGAAACGAAGTTGTTTAACTCAAAATCCTCATTTTAATGTTTCTAAACGCCGAAGCATCATTTCCATAACTATTACACCACTCGATCGACTACATTGAAAAAATAAAGTTTCATAAATTAAAAAAAAAACACCAATAATGTTTATATTAGGAACTTTTATAAATTAATAAAGTACCTGAATTTGCTGAATACATAGCCTTCTAAGCTATGATTAAGCTAAATGTTTGTTGTTTTAAATTATACAATTCTAACTACATATTTAAATTAAAAAATATTTTAATAATATTATATATATATATATCATATGATATTAAATATTTTTAGTATCTTATGTTATCACAATTCACAAGATTATTTAACTTACTTCATTGATGGCTTGGATTTGCTTATCAATGTTAGGTTTTAATCTCGTAATTGCATTTCTAACACTTTGCATGATTTTTTCATTTTGATAAATTGGATTCTCTTGGAATACATAATGATATTGGGAATTCAAAAAATAACATACAAAAAAAAGGTAAGTAACATTACTTCTAAATGATATTTAAGTATAAATAATAATTAAAGATATCTTTAGATTGTTATGATTAATTTATGTAAATTTATATACTTACCAACCGCACATAAGTCCGTACGTGATTGAAATTCTTATCGTTTATCAATTATGTCGCACCATGTTTTTGAATATTGGTGACTTACTTGAATTTTTGACTTTGTTCTTTGCAATGCTTCGTAGATAAACCTTATATCTAGAATTGGCTCCTTAATGGCTATCACTTCACCCGTCTTCTTTTAGAATCTTATTGCTTGTGGATCTTCTTGCAGCACTAATATGCGAACGCCAATAGCAAGTCGATCCGTCATCCTCCCATATCTAGAATTGTTCCAATCTTCCGATTCCCACATCTCCTTGAATGCACTCTAAAACTTAACAATGCTTTCCAGCAACAAAATTGATGGCAAATCTAGTGATGCCAAGCCCAAGTAAATCACACTCATTAGTAAATTTTTTCATATAATTAACTACCCAATTATAATTATAAATAAATTGGGTAATTTTTTTTGCCTTCTCAAATAATTCTTTGACCTTAGATTTTTTCCAATGCCTTTTTAAAGTTAGATCCAAACAATAAGCAGAACAAACTAACCAATCTAAATGAGGACAAACTCGTATTAATTTTTTTTCCTGCAGACTTTCATAGCAGCTTTCATTATCAGTCACTATCTCGGACCACTTTATGTTCATCACATTCATCCACTACTTTCTTCATCAACCCAAAATAATATTCAACATCTTTTGTTAGCATATTTGATGCATCAACCGATTTAATGAACACCACGTTTCGATTTGAATAAACCAAAAAATTCATGATATGCATTTTAGTCGGTTCGGACCATCCATCATACATGATTGTGACACCTCTCTCATTCTAGATATTTTCATAATTTTTGATATACTTCTTCATATTTGTCATCTCTTCGTCAAATACACATCCGAAAGATCATAAGCACTAGGAGGTGGAATTCTAGGACCAACTTCAATGACAATTTTAAGCATTGTTAAAAACCAAGGAGATTCCACACCATTGAATGAAATTCTCTCATGAACAAAAAAATGTCCAACTGCTCTTCTTAATGTTGCTTTCCCAATTTTATATAACCAAGAACTTATGGCCTTTTTTTTTTTTCCTTCTGTAGTCTTTTACAAAACCACTTCATCTTCTTATAGTTTTTCCAATCGTTCCCTCGAAGTTGATTACAAAGGAATTGATGGAACACCAATATGCCATCTTCTTGAACTAGCTCTTTCATGCAAACTTTGTGAACGACGTATGATAAGAGCTTGTTGGTCTTTTCCTCTTCTAGAACCGGAACTGAACCCTCTTCATATAAATCTCCTCTACTTGCTCTATAATTGTCCCTCTTATGTTGCATTATACTCTTTTGTCTCCCTTTTCATCTTGCATTATACTCTCTTAGCTTGTATAAGACATGAGCTCTTCATCTTCATTATCACCAGCACCTCTTTGTTCTCAAATAAGAGAATCCATAATCTCATCCTCGAGCTAACTTGGTCCGATGAATTTATCTTGTTTCGTGGATTTGTAATCATTTAGGACTTTTATCATATCTTTTCTAACATCATCGAGAATACTTAAGCAACCGGCAACAATTTTCTTTTTTATGAGCTATATGCTCTTTGATACGAGTGATTCCTCTTTTAACCACCTTTCTACAATACTTGCGTTGTAGCTTTCTTCTATCGCCATCCAATGAAATAGCAAATTTCCATCCAATGTTTGCACTTTGAGATTATTGTTTTTCTATTCTTTCTTCTCTATCTCGTGGAATTTTTTAGCACCTAGTATATTAGGAAAATAAAATAGATAATCTAAGTAATTAACTTAAATATCATTACAATTTTAGAATTATGCATGCCTAATACAAATATTCACATTATTAAATTACACAAAATTAAAATATTTAATACACACACACACACACATAAGGAGAAATATTAAGTTATCAATCTTTGTATAAATATTATTCACACACCTAACAAATAAAAATTCCCACCTTACCAAAAACCATATGCCCACGACTCATCGACCATTAAAAAAACAAAACGTATAAGCTATATAAAAAACACAAATATCTCAATTTTATTTTTTTCAAAATTCTATTACAACTCTTTAAATAAGAAAACTAAAAACTCTAATAATACTGCATATGAAAAAAAAAAAAGAATCTAATGTACTAATTTTCTAATAACACTTGTCTAATTAAATAAAATATAAAAAATTCTAAAAAAAAAACTTAACAATTAAATTGAGATTACAATAAAAACAATTATACCTAAAATTTTAAAATATACTCTCCGCATCATTTGATCGTTCTAAGTTATGTAATTACCTAGTAATGTTAAAGGTTGAAACTAGTAATTAACATGGTAGTATCCATTCTACACTTTTACTTGGAGGCATGGCAGAGACACAGCGCGCGGTTGACATACTCTCAAGAACATAATTCTTCATTCGTACTGTAGACGCACGACGGCACGAGCATGGTTTCATTCCAGGCTAGGAAATTAAATATAGAGAAAATAAAAAGATAACTTCCATATTGCATTTTTTATTCCGAAATGCTTTTTTTGATCCATGAAGTAAATCAGTCTTGATTTGCCAACTAAACTAATCAGAAGTGACGCCTACAGTACTTTTCAAATGTGGCAAATTTTTGTAAATGATAACATGAATTTTTTTTTTTTTTTTTACATAAAATAAAATGATCTATACATCACCATGCCTATGACATGTACATTAAAATTGTGGTCCACCGTGTTCAACTCCCTTTGATTTAGGCTTTTATATAATTAATTCAAATTAATCAATACTAAATTTCTATGGTAAGTAATTAACTTAAATATCATTATAATTTTAAAATTATACAGACCTAATGTAAA